AAAACAGGTAAGTTCATAGAAACAAAATAACGATCTAAAGAAGAACAAAGGTAAATCCAAGAAGGCAATAAAAGACAAAAGAAACACAAACACTGGAAACTCCAGAAGGCCTTAGGCAAACAGGTAAACAGTTAAATTAACAGCTAACGAGAAGACGCATGATTATGTATTCACTGATTAGGAAACAAGACAGGGGAATCAAATGAGGGTGGAGGCAATCGAAAAAGGGGGAAAGGCTCATAAAGTAAAGGGCAAAATCACTAGAGGCACAAGATATTTACAGTAAACACAGGAAAGAGGAAACACAAGGTAGGAAAAACCAAGGTGCACAAAAGATGGCATGAAGATTATGACGTTTACTTGGAGACTTGGCTACAGCTGCTTGCCAGTGGTTGATAAAACTTCACTACTATTGTTGATATGCCTTCAGCTGAAATACTGTTATAATGATTCAGATTATTTAAATAAGCAGAAAACCTAAAATGCTTTTAGAGAGCAACAAGTGTCATTATAAACAACTATTAAGAAATCCAGCTCATAGGGTTTCAGTTATGTAATCCTCAACATACACATCAACAATCTTGCTTCATCTAGAAGATAACTGCTATTCATTTAGTATCAGCACTAATAATTAGAACTTATATTCCAGAAATCATTGAATCCACTGCCTGAATAAAGAGTCCCTGCTAAACAGGAGCCCCAGTCCATTTGATATTGCGTTTTGCGGTCTGACAGCGCAGCCAGTTGAAATTTATCCCTCCGTGTGATGACACAAGAGGTCGTCCAAACCCCTCCAGTTTGCACAGCTACCTGGTTTTGGAGTGGGGGAGTCAGTAAACAGGTAAAACGCTACAAATAGAATCTATAGCCACTTAAGAATATAGTCTTAAGGGAGGGCAGCCTCTTCCCGTGTCTGCGTCAGCACTGACCTTTCTGCTGTTTGCTAAAAGGATTTAATTTCACCTCTACCTCTCTCACTTCTACTCTTTTTTTTTTTTTTTTCTTCAACATTCACGCTTGAGGCATCCGAGGAGGATAAAATGAAAGTTTTGTCCAGGAAAGAGAAGCTGTGCTGGTTCACTTACAGGCCGAGTGATATCACACCGCTGATATGAGGAAATGTTTGGCATTTTTAAGCAAAGAGGGAGGAGGAGTTTTACATCTTGCCATGCAATTCTTTAAGAAAGCGTGCATACTTGTAAATAATATACATGCATTTCACAGGGAGGTCAGAGGTCAGGGGCAGCAAAAGACACAAACTAAGTGCTTTGCAGAAGGAAAATTCCACAGCGCGGATTCTTGTTGTCTTTTCTCATTACTACCTCCTGCTGCGAACCATCGCTAAAGTCTATTTGCAGTCATCCTTCCAATGCTTGCTTACAAACTAAAAATATCCTTCCCTGTGAGTTGGACATAAACCCAACATCTCTTCAGTTTCTTCTATTTGTTGTCAAAGTAAATATGTGTGCCACATATGAACCTACAGCGCCCTCTGCTGGCATCATATGGACAGACTTTCACTTGTTGATTCTCATAAAGAAGATCCGTAACAATATGGGCCAGTCACGTGGTCAAAGAGGTTAAAGGGAGTTCAAAGCTGAACTCTTTTGCACCTTTAAGATACAGCTGGTGACAGAAAAAGAATTTGCGTGTCTTCCTTTACTGTCGGCCATTTCTCAAACAAAGCTGAACAAACAAGTTTTCTTTTGTGATTGGAGGATTATCTGAGATAGAAAGGATGTCTGCAGGTTAAACGTCAACCATGTTGGCTTTTATCATCCGCTCCAATCCGGTTCTTTTTTATTAAAGTCTACATTTCATGACACAATACACTTGAATTAGACCCGGAGACGAATACTCAGCCTTAGAAAAAAAACGTCGGATTAAACGGTTTGTATTTCTTCAGTCACTCAACTGAATTTAGTGAGTCATGAAATCTTGGGGACTTGATAAACAAGTTACATTGTGCTGTAAAATACTTGTTCAATGCAAATAAAGACAAAATAAAAGCAGTTAGGGTGAATTAACTCACAAAGGGAAGAATCGTTCCTATGTGAAACCTATAAAGAGCATCAGCCACAGTAAATATGCAGAACTGTGACATGGGGACGCACGTTTAAAATGTATGTCTTAGAGTTCTTGCTGAAGTCGTTTTACTCCCCCAAGGAAAAATTAATTATCTTGTAGTTTCTTGGTCATTACCCATAAAATTAAAATCCATTCAGGGTATTACGATGACCATTTCATTCTCAAATTGTAACTCTGAGACACAAAAGATGGATTTATAAATAAGTGATTCTGCAGATTAAGGTAAAAGTTTAGCTGAACTATTCTAAACTCAGCTAAGCTACAATAATTGTTAATAATAATTGAATTTCCCTTCTTATTGAATTTCCCTTCTGGGATAAATAAAGTATTTTTCATTTCATTTCATAACAACCTAGTCTAATCTATGGAAGGCTAATATAGAATAACATAAGCTAAGCTAAGTCACCACCATATATATATATATATATCTACTCACGGCTAAGAGAAGCTAAAGTAACGTGACCCAGAATAAGTCAGATAAGTAAAGAAAAGTTGGCTAAACAAAGCTAAGAGAAGCTAGCTCGGTGAGGAAGGTTTACTCATGGAAACAAAGAGCAGAGCTTGAAAAATTAAGACGCTGAAGCCACCTTTTGCGGGTTCAGTAACAACAGTAGAATTATTATTAATAACTGTTAATAAAACCTGTGGTGACATTTAGTCTCTGCGCTAAATTCCAGAATCTTTTAGCCTCAGATCTAAATGTTTATCCGTCATTCAGTCGTGTGTTGTCAAAAACATTGGGATATTATTTTATCGTTCTTATATTGTCTTATATTATTATATGCTATTTTACTATTGTGTCAAGTATGTGATTATAAAGCTCTTTCCGATTCGTATTGCCTGTATAGAAGCTTCCCCAGACACAGAAAGTCGCCTTTCTTATCAATAAAGTTATAAAATATGGAAACAGACGGCCAGGTAGCAATAAAAGCGTGTGATATGTTTTATTGCCAGTTTCTGTAGTTACATAAGCTTTTATTAGACCGTGGACAGTATTTTCTGTGTTTTTTTGTTTTTTTTTGTCAGCAACACGTGCAGCTTTATTATCCTACCAGCACCTGCATCTCCTGCTCTATATAAAGGGTCAACCGGTGAAATTCCTGCTAAATAAAAGTTATGAAAACAACTTTTACCAAGGGCACACTGTTGTATAAGAGTATGGCTCTGTTACGCATCATAAACCTGAAGAACCACTGGTCCAGTTGGCCTGCGCTCACTGCGATATTAATGCGTAACATGGCATCGAAAGAAAGTGGGATGACCTTACTTTGCATTCAGCTCCTTCCATTTAAATTCATTTTGCTTTAAAATAACTTGAAAATGGTGCAATTAATAGATTAAAATCTAAATGCCTCTGCAAGAAGCAGGTAATGAACATGAGGTTAATGATAATTACCTATTATGGAGGAATGTATTGGCAACGCTACTCGTTGACACTTTCTTGCACCCTCAGGTCTAATTGTTTTATTGCCCCAGGCTTCTGTTAGATTAACGCTGAGAAGTGGAACGTTTTGTGGTGTAAAAATACATCAAGGAAAATTTACAGAGCTTTATGACTACAGAGCAAAATCATCCTATGAAAGTGAAACCCACGTGATTAGCAGGAATCATTTAGACAACAAACCGCTTCTTGCTAAATATTTCACTTGACAAAAATAGCATCTGATCCTTTTCGGTTAACAGTAACGCCACAGAAAAACAAATGCTGAATGATGAAGATGCAAAAAAAGCGACAATTATACCGTTTATATTGCTTACACTGGTGTATATAATATATAAAGGATGTTTCCAGCTAGGTTACAGTACATCAGAAGTCCTGACTGTTTGCGTAAAAGTGCCAATAAAATGATCATTCCCACAAACCGAAAACAATTCATGTTTACTCGTGTCTATTGTTACTCAGAGCTCACTCCTCTTCCCCTGCGACGGTCCATTGTGATCCTCGCTGCTACTCAGAAAGACAGAGGAATGTTTGTGTTCAAGGTTTACAAGGTGTTTCCTCTGCTGGCACAATGTGTGTGCGCACGAGAGGGTTTGGTGTCGTGTCTCTGCTTCACATCAGCACTTCACCGTTACCCACAATGCACTGTGGGAAAGGTAACACCCACTTTGTTTACCTGCAGGAGGAAACCAGAGACGGAAACTACCAGAAGAGAAGGGAGAGGAGGAAAAGAAACCAAAAAAAGAACAGAAAAGAAAAAAGACTTTGAATTGTTCTTGTTAAGAGTGATCCAGGTGTTTGACTTCTTAAGTGGATTTTATAGAGAAGTTGGAGACTTTTAGAGCTACTTTGGAGTTTGTTTCACTACCTTTCTGGCATGACAAAGGTGTGAGTGAGAGGAGTGGGACGTCAGAGTGGAGGGAGGAGCTGCAGGCCTCTCCATGTATGGACTCTAACTCTGTTCATATGGTAAATAGAAGGTCACATGGGGCAATAGTCTTGGAGCAGTGGAGGAAAAAGGGAGGGAAAGGAACAAGGGGAGAGAGAGAGATAAACTGAAGGACTTCGGCCTGCCTCATGTGCAGGAGGCGGCACTTTCACCCTGAGTTTAGAGGACACTGGATTACACTACCAATAGGAGACAAAAGATCTCAAGTGTCATGTTGTGGTTAAACTGAAGCTTTATCTGCTTCACCAGAGGCCTTATTGGGCTTTAACATTTTCATTTCGCTTCCTTTTGGATACTTTTTGTGTTACTCTCCGCTGTGAGAGTGAAAGCCCAGCGTCATCCCTCATCTTCCGGGTAACAGAAGGAACCAAGATGCCTACAAACTTCACCGTTGTGCCCGTGGAGGATGTGGAGGACGGCGGCGGCGGCAGCGGGGCGACAGCTGCAGGGAACAAACCTGTCAGTCTGGATAGAATCTTCACAAACGCAGAGGATGAAAACCACCTCCAAGAACCTCCCTCAGGTAGGGAACAAACTGGAAAAACCAAAGATCTGCTTTGACTTGCTGACATACAGTAATGGAGGTCCAATTCACGGGGTGAAGGGGTAATTATCCCAGCATGCATTCGGTGAAGGACAAGCGAGTAAGTTTGATAAACTGCACACCTCACTGTGTAATTGAACACGTACAAACGGAAGCACGCTGACACAAACAGGTACATGTTATGGCAGGCACATGCTTTACTCACACACACGTGCACACACATTAACAAATACACACTCGCAAAGTGTTCAGCTAGCTAGGACTTGCAGGGCAGCTTGGTTACTGTGGCAGGAGGAAGGGCCTGTGTGCTGTTACTTACGTCTTTTGCAGCCCTGATTGATGGTTGGGGCTCTTTGCTTCATCATTGCTGCGCTGCAGGGCTGTATGTTTAGAGCAGCCTAACCTGGGAAGGCAGAGTGCAGAGAGGATCAGTAGTAAGTTGTGAAAAGGTGGGCAAACTGTGGAAAAAAGAGCAACTTTTAAGCCATTTTTAGGGTTGAAATTGTTGAAATTGTTGCCTAAAAAAGTGCAAATCCTACACACTGCATATTTTTCACAGGAAGCAATGAGAAAATGCAGCAGCTACCAACAAAACCTGAGCTCTCTTGTCAATTTAAGCTTGTGTGCTGAAGAAATTTGATAAGATAAGCCTTTATTAATTCAACAGTGGGGATTTATGCAGTGTCACAGCAGCAAAGGAAATAGTGCAAACATGAAGGGACATCAGTGAAAAAAAAGCCCTAAAAACCAAGAAATATAAATAGGTACAGTTGATATTGTAAAGATTCTTCCATATGTAGAAATTCAGATGTTACACAGATTCCTCTGAATGTGGAAAGCAACAATATTAGATGACTTAGGGACAAGATTACCTGTTTATCATTTACAGAACATTTAATAGGATTTATATGTATTCTGTCTTTGTTGGTTGTCTGTCAGATAACAAATTAATTTACAAAATTTAAGCATTTAAATACACAACTATGTACGCTGCTAGGGGTCTCTTAATCAAAACAGTGACAAAGTGTGTTTGATGATACCGTAAAGTAGTGTGGACTCATAGGAGTTGATGTCTTCACCACCATTTCTGATTAAATTCTACCTGATGGGACTCAGACAGAAGTCAGGTTCACAGATGGCTTAACATCCAAAGCTTCATTCATGTTACCTTTAGTCACATAAATTTATATTATGCAATTTTATTATAATGAAACAGCCACAATTGACATTTGCTAGCGTGATGTTAATTTGTAACTTAACATTTAAAGAGTTGGCTGCCCGTTTATCTACTGTAGCTGACGATTTATTGGTGGGCTCGCCCATCGCTGTCAGAGATGAGTTTTTAGGGTTTAAATCAGTGAGGGACTTTAAAACAGAAATATTTCATGTCATACCTTTAAATATGTGATATATGGGGGATATCACTAAAGATCAATATAACTATTAATTGTAACGTTTGTCTTGGTAACAAATAATTTAGCATTTATCTTTTAAACATCCTTGTGCACAAAATCTTGCACATATTGTTATTACTTGATCTACAAATTGGAAAAGTCCTGCATTTGTTACAAGTTTATTTTATTCAGTTTTTAGCAAAGCTTTTTAATGTTTTGGCTTCATCTGGCTACAGCAAGTATCTGCATATTTTCTTTTTTGTCAGACTGACTGGTTCAGACCCTGCTAAGCATTTGCAGGAATAGAAATTGAAAGTACTTGATTGTTTGACGTCTCTTGTCAGTTCAGAAAATCAAAAATAAAATAGCGTAAACACATCAAGCCTTTGCATTTCCTAACATATGTGCTTATCAAATATAATGTTTTAAAGGTGGATAAGTGTTATTGAATGCAGGTGTAAAGGGGAACTAAGTTATGTTCATGGTTTTGTTTAACATGTTCCCCTTTATAGACATTTTTCTTTTTTTGTTTTTACTTGCAGTACTTTTATTCTTTATGGTGTTTTCTTAAATCAAAGCGCTACACGGCCTCTTCTTTCTGTCCCAGTTCTGCCTCTTCGGCTTCTTTTTCTCCATAAATAGGCTGATTTTCACTGCCCTTGTTTTTGCTTATAGTTAAACCGCTTTAGTTCCAACTGCTGGCTGTTAGCTAGGAGAAAGCATGCCACATCTGTGTGTGGGAGTAAACACAAAGATTGCGAGCACACGCTAACTGACACCCAACATTTTTTGTTAGTGATGTAAGCTTTGATGCATTTGTGAAGTTAGAGGCAAGTTAAAGCAATTTCAGGGCATCAATTATAGGCTTTCTGAAGGAAGTTATTTATTAATTAACTGATTGACATGAGTAGACTGACGCTACTTACAATGTTCTAATGGTAATTAATCATTAATATGTGATTTAGCTAAACTTCTCTTGTGTTCAGTTGTCCATCCTTGAGCACCCTTCGACTCTGACAGTCAGATTTCAGACTGGGCTTCTGCCACCGTCGGCCACTCTTCTGTCTCCACACCAGGCCGAGGCTAGTTGTGCTGTAATGCTTATTCTGATCTTTGTATTTTGCAGCATAATCCAGTAAAGTACACTTGAGACTGAGTAGCAGGTTGGTGCAGCATCATCAGTAATGTGAATGCTGTGCCAGGCTGGAAGGCAGGGCTTTTGATCGATTAGATATGTTTCACCTGTGAGGTTCTGAGCTCTGGGTAGTGACCAAACGAATGAAATTGTGAATACAAGGGGACAAAATGAGTTTCCCTGGTTAGAAGCTCAAACACCCAGTGGGAGCTCAGTAAAGCTATTCCTCCTTCATGCAACAAGTAGCCAGTTGAGGTCTTCTGGTAACTGATAGGATCCCCGTGATGGGCCCATAACATTCTGGAGAAACTATGGGTGTCTCATGTGGCCCGGGAACACCTTAGGATCCTCCAGGAGGAGCTGGAAGGAGGCCCGTCTGGACTACCTTCTTTCGCTTATTGCCACCATGATCCGACTGTGAAAAAGTGGCAAAAAAAGGATGGAATACTTTAGTAAGAAAAGCATTTAAGCAAATGTCCCAAAACACAACATAATAATATGTTCATTACTTGTGTTTGATGTGTCTCTGAGAGTGGTGGCTGAGTCCCAGAAAACCAAAACTACAAGCTGAAAGATGAATAAAACCTCCATAGATCTGAGGACATATGCAGTGTTGGGTGATAATGGTAAATGATCTGTTGTAAATATTAAATTGCACACATTAGTGCAGCTTTAATAAGAGTGAGTGCAGCTTTCAAGGTTTAAAATCATATCTAGAGCCCAACCACCTGAGTCTGGCATGAGGAAATCATGTTTAAAAATAGAAAACAGGAGGTAGAAGGTGTATCAAACAAGCCTTGAATCAACAAGCCGTAAATCAATTTGTTCTGTGTCTAGGCAACCTCAGTGTGAGTTTATAACCGACAGGAATGCTGGACCCTCGAGCAACAAGGTGTTCCTAGCAATCAGTTCAGATGTTTGCACACAAGAGAAATGAGTTTGAGTTTCGCTCTACAAGGACAGTGTTGACATCCGTTGAATCTCAGGCTACGATGGCCACAGGCTTTTGTGAATAATGTGAAACCGTTCATTCAGGAAAATTTCCTCAAAATACTGTTAATATTTACACAGTCAAAATCAGAGCATCAAGGACGGCTGGAAAGGAACTTTAGATAATGTTTCTTGAAAAGTTGTCATATCTGGGTGTGTTTAGCTGAGTTAGGATTCTGTGTTGTAACTACTGGAGATGAAAATCACAAAGCTAGAATTTTAAGGACAGTATTAACATGTTTTTTTAAGAGAAGCACCAAATAAAATAAAATAAAATAAATACTTGCCAGATTGAATTTGATTGAATTTCCCTTCTGGGATAAATAAAGTATTTTTCATTTTCAGACATAAAATTGGCACCCTGATGATTTGGTATGGATTGAGATGTCCTTGATTTAGTCTGTTGCCTGTTAAAGTGTTAAACGCACCAGATTCTACAGTTCCCATAATGCAGCTCAGTTGCTTGCCTTTAGTTGGTTAATGACATCACCACTGTAAATCCTTAGAAACCACGCTGTCCTTTTAATGACAGTGTTGTAAATACGAAAAACATTTATCACAGTGGTTACTTTTACATTTTACTGTAGGGTCAGTTTATGTCAATTCAGACTGAATTTCAGGAAATATGCTGCTGCACTTTCTCAGATTTTATTCAAAGTTTAGTTATTTGTTATCGGGGACCCAAATCTAAGTTCTGTAAAATATTGTGACTCATTTTTGACAATTTCATTTGTTTCCAGACTGGAGAATGTCTTTATTTTTAAACTTAAAAACAACAAATCGTACCACAAACCTGTGGAGCATCACAATCTGACATGACACTGACCGACCCTGTTCGTCCTTCCTGGTGGAGGCAGAAGTGACAGAATGTGCAGAAGGACACATACAGTGCTGATTAGACAAGATGCAATCTGTATATACAATAACATCTTCGTGCCATCATTTTCCAACCCAGTATCCAGTTTCATATTGTCCTAGTTTCTGCTTGTAGGACACATACCACATACCTGCATAACGCTGTCTTAGCAGCTCTAGCAAGACGAGTTTTCTTGCATGCATTCAAATTCACCAATCAGGAATGACTGAACCTTATTATTGATCTTAAGTTGCTTTAAAAAGAGGAAAGTGCTACAAAAGGAAGCACACATGGGGCAGAAAATGGCAAGTAGTTTTGGCAAACAAAAAGTAGAATTAGATGGGAAGATGAATATGTCTGGATGATAAATATGCTGTGAGGATGTGGCTTCGGGGCTGCAAGGTGGCGCAGTTGGTGTTATTGGTTGGTGAGTATTACCAGTGAGGATGCCTGGGATGTTTCTGCATGGAGTTTGTATGTTCTCCCCGTGCAGCGTGGGTTCTCTCCAGGTTCTCCGGCTTCCTCCCACACAGTCCAAAAACATGTTGAGGTTAATTGGTGATTCTAAATTGTCCGTAGGTATGAATGTGAGTGTGCTTGGTTG